CGGGCGCCCAAGTGATTTCGATTTGCGCGCGAGAGGCGCCTTTGGTGGCATGTGATCAGGACGCGGGGGGAGCCCATGGTTCTTCTAGGAATTCGCAAGAGCGCGCGCCGACCTTTCTTGAAAAGAGATGCTGCAACACCATGTGCTGTTCTGAAGTGCACCGGGGCGCCCGGTTTTGCCATCGCTGCGACGCCGAGGGTGGTTGAGAGGTTGGGCACGCGCGCGACGACGCGCGCGCACTTCGCTCCGTTGTTTTGCCAGAGGGTTCTTGCGACAGCACGCGCGCGAGGGCGTTCGAACGATTTCGGCGCGCGCGCGAGATGCACGCTCGGCAGCACTTGACGCGCACGCTGAAAACCGTAGGAGCCCCCTTCCGATTTGCAAGAGCTCGGGTGCATGATTATTTGAAAGCTCCAGTTGCGAAGCCAGTGTTTTTATTTATTTGTTTTTTTCGCGTGTTCTCGGGGCGCTCGACTTTGAAGTTCTCGCGGGCAATGCGGTGCGTGGATGGATTTCGGCACGCGCGCGCGCGAGGACGCGCGCGCGCGCGTTTCGTCACATTTGTTCTGCAAGGGAGGGGGCCCTGAACGCCGCCCGCGTTTGCTGGGCTCGCGCGCGGCAGAACCGCCTTCGGAAACCAACGCGAAAACGCCCTAGAGGTTACGACGGCGGGAGGTCGATCCGGATACTTATCTAGAAAGGAGAAGGTTTGTTTCGATCCAGGTTGCGTCATCCATGTTGGGCAACCCATGTTGTGCCACGTGCGCTGCGCAGTTTAAATTGCGAAATGTTTGTTGCGCGCTGCGGGGTATTGCATGTGATGTGCAATCCGCGTGGTGCGATCTACGCGGTGCAACCTACGTGGCCCTATTCGCTTTGAAGAAGACCAAGTGGTCAACCCCACGGTTTGCGCAGTCCCCCCGCCCGCCCACCCGCAATATGGCGCGCGAAACCCATGCGGCGGTGATTGCGATGATTGCCTGGCGCTGGCTGGCGCGCCGCTGCGGCCGCTCTAGCGCGCGCGCTCGCGCGCAAAGTGGCCGGCTACTTCGGCGCGACCGACGCGGCCGCTGTGGCGCTGTCCGCTGGAGACCTTCCAGCGCGCCTCGCATGCCGCCTTGGCGCGCGGGCGCTTCAGTGCGGGTCGGTGATCCGGGAGTGCGCGGCGTCATGGTGACGTCGGCAAACGCGGACACGGTGGCGATAGTAGCGGCGCTGGCGTCGATGGTGACGACGACGACGACGACGACGTCAACGCCAATGACCGCGCCGATGCTGGTCACGCCGGCGGCGATGATGGTGTCCACGTGTCGGTGATGAAGGTTGTGGAAGGATTTCGACATGCCCACGCGGCCGACACGCGCGACTGGCCCGCATGGCATTTTTGACAGGGGTCGTCCCCCCCCCCCACACAAGTGCGCAAAGCCTTTCGAATCACTTCGACATGCGCTCGCGGGAGGCCCGCGTGGTTTCATGTAGCGAACTTGGGCTATTGGCCAACAGGTGTGCGACAGTGCGCGCGCGTCGACATTGTATTTGTTCCAAGAGATGCTGAACATGTGTGATTTTCGGGGGAAAAAAAGAATGTGCGCACGCCACATACTTGTATTTGATAAGGATGGAATGGGGGGTCGATAGCGGGCTTGGCTGGGACGGTCTTTTTTTTGTGACTGAGCGATGAGGAAGTATCATGCGTAACCTGTTGTGTCCCAGGGGTGCGAATACAGCCCGGGTGGTAGAGCGCATATTCTTTTTTTATGAAACATTTATGTTGTGTAATTAATCTTTGACCGTCTTGGAGCTGTCCTCTCCGCCGCTCGTGCAAACATCCCACCCTCCCACCCGCAACTTGGTCGCAAGACCTCTTAAGACAAGACCGTGGCGGTACGTACCACATGACACTTGGCCACGACACCGACGCCGACGACAACAGCGACAACGACGACGACGGCGCCGCCGACACCGACTACGACGACTTCGACGACGTCTCCAACGACTTCGACGACGACAACGACGACGACGCCGACGACGACGACGACGACGACGACGACGACGACGACGGCGACTGCGACGACACCGACGACGTCTCCGACGACTTCGACGACGACAACGACGCCGACGACGACGACGACGAAGACGACGACGACGTCGCCAACGAAGACGACGACGAGGGAGGAGGAAGGACGACGACGGCGACAACGACGACGACGACGACAACGACGAGGGAGGAGGGAGGACGGCCACGACGCGAACGACGAAGAGGGAGGAAGGACGCCGGCGCCGACGACAACGACGGGGGAGGAGGGAAGACGACGACGACGACAACGGCGGAGACGACGACGGCGACGAAGTAGGAGGGACGACGACGAAACGCCGACGACGGACGACGACGACGAGGGAGGAGGAGGAAGGACGACCACGGCAACAACGACGACGGAAACGACCACGACGCCAAAGAGGACGACGACGACGAACACGAGGAAAGACAGAGGACGACGTAGGCGACGACGACGACGACGCGGGAGGAGGGAGAAAGGCGACGACGACGAAGACGACGACGACGACGACGACGCAGGAGCGCGCGCGCACGCTTTTGTTAAAAATCCGTGCTGCGAAACCTTGTGTTTTTGTATGTTTTTTGGACACACGATTTTGAAATCGTTCCGAAGCCGATGGGTTTTGAAGGTTTTCGGCATACGCGCGCGACGACGCGCGCGTCTGCCCTTCGTCCCATTTTTTATAAAAAGGATTCTCGCGACGGCACACGCGCAAGGGCGTTCGACAGATTTCGGCATGCGCGCGCGAAGCCCGTTTAACAGCATTTTGTGGAAATCTTGAAAAACCTATGGTTTTCTTAAGATTTCGCAAGGGCTCGCGCGGAAGCTTTTTTTAGCAATTCAGTGTTGCGAAACCCTGTGTTTTGGTTTGTTTTCTGGAAACTCGATTGCGAAATCCTTCCGGCACCGAAGGTTTTTGAAGGATTTCGGCATGCGCGCGCGACGACGCGCGCGTGTGCACTTCGTCCCGTTTTTTTTGCGAGGGATTCCTGAACAAGTGTTATGTTAGAACAACATATGTCACCGCATAGTGTTTTTACCAGGGACCCTCAGGGGGGGGATACCGGTTGGCATTTGACATTGCGATTTCATATTTAGGATGGACATGTGGTCAGAATCATATATGATTTACATACCCGACAGGGGTGTCGATAACGCCGGGGGGCGGGGGGGGGTAGATCCTATTTTGTTTTTAGAAAGAAGAATCTACGCGGTGCTGTCTACGTTGTGCAATCTAGGCCGCGACGAGGCGGCGACGGCGAGCATGGAATCGCAACACCGCCACCCAAACCAAAACGACGGGCGGCGACGACGCGACGACGGGGCGGCGACGGCGAGCACGGAACCGCCACGCCGCCACCCAGGCCCACACGACGGGCGGCGACGAGGCAGCGACGGGGCTTCGACGGCAAGCGCGGAGTTGCCAGACCGCCACCCAGGCCCACGCGACGGGCGGCGACGAGGCGGCGTCGGGGCGGCGACGGCGAGCACAGAACCGCCAGATTGTCAACAAGGCCCCCTTCCCCAGAAGAGAAGCAGGCACACCTAAGTGCAAACATTGCTTGTGGAGGCCAGATCCTAGCACGTTTTTGTCACCCGCTCTGCATCCGTGGCCACGCGGCAGGAGCTCACAAAAGTGGCAGCCCTTTTTTTGTTAAACAGACACTTCGGGCGAGAATCCCACCCTGAAAACGTACACGGGCCTCCGTCCGTGTCGCAAGGCTTGACTCCGAATGCGCGCGGCGCAGAGCCGCATTTTGAAACTGGCCAGGCTCCATGCGTGAAAATGTTGGAGTTCTTGTATCTTCGGTGTCGTATATGGTGGGGAAGTGTCCAGCGAAGCGCCCGGCCCAGCCTACGGACAAGCTCGGTGGTGCGACCGGGGAGAGTTGTGCAGAAGGGAGAAAAATGGAGAAGGAGGAGAAGGATAAGAGGAGGATCGGAGGAGGAGGACGAGGCATGGGCGGAGGAGGGCAGGAGTCGCGCCAGTTTCTCGAGTGGACTGCTACGGTTCCCGCTTTCTCCGGGGAGATGGGGCGTTCGAGTTCGCTCTCAGGCGAGCGTCTGCCTTCGAGTGGGCTCGGCTCGGCTGTGCGTTCGATCTTGTGCGGCTGCCAGTGTGGAAGAAGGGAACGGAACTGATCAGTGCGACCGAGCTGCCGCCTCCACATGCCAGAGCTGAGCCAAGATCTTTGTGGAGATCGGCATCAGCTCCCGGCCAGGCCAGGGGGCCACATCCACCAAGACCTGGCCCCAAACGGGCGGTGCGGAGGCTTGCAGCATCATGCCTCTGCTCTCCACCTTCTCCTTCGGAGGAGAGGCGATGCCACCACCACCATTACCACCACCACCACCACCACCACCACCACCACCACCACCACCACCACCACCACCAGCGAGGGGGAACCACGATGCCTCCCCGAGAGGGGGGATGCTTCGAGCGAGGGACGTGCACCACACCACCAGGAAGACCACGTGGTGTCGCCTTTCCTTGTGCCCCCTGCTCCTCCTTCTGATCCTCCTCACTCGTCTTCATGCTCCTCCTGCGCCCCCCTCCGTCCGTCCTCCCGCCTTCCTCTTCCGACTCTTCCGAGATCCCAGACTTCCAACGGCTCGATGTGTGTCGAGCCCACTTCTCCGAGCCTTCTTCATCCCAGATCGTTCTGTGACGAGTCCGGCGCGGGCCGGAAACGGCTCCAGGCGCCGAACATTGCGAAACAAATCTGGCGCGATCTGTGCGAGCCGCCCGAGGTCTGGGGTCCTCCCGTCTTCCTCCCCCGACGGTCTCTGGAGGATTTTGGAAGTCCCCTCCTGCCTCTGCAGGTGCCCTCGCTGGAGGCCGAACACAGCGACGCATCTTGGCCTTGCCATTTCGAAGACGTGGGATGTCAGGGTCCTCCCGTCCCCGCTCCCTCGAAGGCTCCTCGTTCGTTTTCCCAGAAGGCCGGGCAGCCCCCGGCGGTGGCCGTCGGCGCGGCGCTGCTCGCCGCCGCGCCCATGCCGGCCTACGCCGGCGGCATGTTCGACTTCGGCCCCGCGGCTTCCCAAAAGTCGGAGGGCGACGCCGCCCACCCTCGTCAAGCAGGGAAGGGGCCCCGAGGGAGACGGGTCCTGAGGCTTTTCGCCGTTTGTCGCTTCCCGGGGCCCTCCCCGGTCCAAGCCACTCGGGATGGAGAGTTGGTGGTCCCGGAGGGGGAAGCCTCGGGATCCAAGGCCCGGTTCCCTCAGGACCCATCTAGTTCATGCCGCCCCCCTGTCACACACACACACACACACACCTACCTCCGCGATCCCGCGAGGAGGAGGAGGAGGAGGAGGAGGAGGAGGAGGAGGAGGGTATGCGGCTTCGAGTCCCCCTCGGCTTGCCCCCCAGAAGCATCCAGTGTGGTTGGGTCCATGCGTTCTGCCCGCAGCACCTCGCCCCTCCGTCCGCCTCACTTCCTCCCCCATCACTTTGCTCCTCCCCGCCGCTGCTTCTGCGCTTCCCTCTGCTGCTGTGCCGTTGTTGCCGCTGCTCCGCTCCCTGCGCTGTCCGCGTGTCTGCTTCGGCGCACCCACACACACACATACACCTCACGCGGATCGTTCCCCGCAGGGAGCTCCGCGTATGGCACTGGTGCCCGCCGCAAGTCTTCATGCCACTTACGGCACTGGTGCCCCAGTACCCCTGCGGGCCCGCGCCCGATTCGGCACCCTGATGCGCATCGTGCCCCGCAGGGAGTTCTCTCTCTCTCTCTCACTCTCTCTCTCCCTCTCTTCGGCCCCAGTGCCCAAGTCCGCATGCGGGGGTCGCACTCGATTCGGGGCACCCCTCGCACGGATCGGGCCACGTAGGAAGCCTCGCCCCACTGGCCAAGTCTGCGTGCGGGCCCGCGCCCACCGCTCACGCAGATCGCACCCCCGTTGGGATTTGCGCCTGCGGTCCCAGCGCCCACGTTTGCATGCCGGCCCGCGCCCATCTCGACTCACGCTGGTCGTGCCCGGGCAGGGAGCTCCATTTGCGGTCCCAGTGATGGGCGTGTCCGCATCGGATCCGCGTCCACTTGGTCGCGTCGCTCCCCCCTTCGCGCGAACCGTGTCCCCATAGTGACCTCAGGGAACCTTTGCGCGCTTGCCCCGCAGGCACCGATCCGCACTGCCCCAGACTACACACATGCCTCCTGCGGGGCGCAGTATATGAGGAGACGGCCGCGCTCCGTTCCACACGCAGCTGCGCGATTGGGCTTGGGCCCTGTCCTGGGCTACTTGAGCCCGCAGAGCCTGAGTCACGGCGGGCCCCCACAAAGGGGAACACCCGCAGTCCAATGAATCATGCCGTGGCGACGCTGGGGTGTCTTGGGGACCTCACGTAAGGCCTGTTGGAGGTCTCCAGGGAGGCTTCCTGTGAGCTTTTTGGAGTCTTCTTGGGCACTGTTGGGGGCTTTCGAGGGGGCTCTTTGGGGCCTCTTGGGAGCCTCTTGTGGCAAAAATGTGTAGTCGGGGTCCGCGTTCCCCCTCCGAACCCCCCCATCGAGCTCTCTGAGGCCGTCTTGGGAGCCCCTCCGCCCGTCTTGCGGCTTTTGTGGGCCCTCTTGGGGCATCTTCGGGCGATCCTGGGGGGGCGTCTGGGGCCGTCTTTGAGCTTCGGAATTTCGAAAAGGCGAGAGCCCTAAAATCGTTGAAGCGCCTGCGAAAAATAATCGAACGGTGCATCTGGGGGGCCTTTTTCGGGATCCTCTCGGGGCCCTCTTGGGGCGTTTTGCGGCCCTTCGGGACCCATCTTGGTCCATCTTGGAGCCGTCTTGGGCCGTCTGGGGCCCATCTTGGGGTCAGTTGGGTCCGTCTTGAGCCTCCAAGAGCCGGGCAGGCTCCAAATTCGCTTCCTTAGGCTGATAGCAAGCCTTCTCGCCGAGCGCGGCCCGGGCCCGCAGGGAGCCCGCAGTGTTGTTGGGCCCTCGTCGCCACGGCTGGAATCGCAGCCCGCAGAGCGGACACCACGGCAGGTCCCTCTTCGGGAAACTTGCGCGCCAATGTGGTATTCTTAGGTCCAGGGGGCCTTCTGGGAGCCCTCTCGGGGCCTCTTGGGAACACCGTCGGGGCCTCTTCGAATTTTCTTGAGTCCTCATAGTCTGTCTTGGGGCCTCCTGGGCCGTGGGGGTTCTGGAAGCCTCCTGGAGCCCCGTTTGGACTCCTCGTGTCAAAATGCTCAAATGAGCTTGGCCTTTTGGTCCGCCTGGCGTTCTCTTAGAGCATTATTGGGTCATCTTGGAGCTTCTTGGGCCGTCTTGATGTCATATTGGGCCGTCATGGGGCCATCGTAGGCCGTCGTGCGCCGTCTTGTGGCTGTTCATCCGGGGCCGTCTTGAGGCCACTTTCAGGCCAGATTGGGCCCTCTTGGTCTCGGGGGCATCTAGGAGGCGAAAGAGATTTCAAAAACACGCGAGCCCCCCCGCTAACCAGCTAGCAAGCTAAACATTCCAGACTCGCAGGGCCCGCATGGGGCCCGCCGCGTTGAGCCCGCAGGGCAGGAGCCACGGCTGCCCTCCCGTCGGGAAACCAGCCAGCAAGTCTTCCGACCATGGATGAGGAGAAGGAAGAGGAGGACGAGGAGGAGGAGGAGGATAATGAGGGTGATGCTGAAGCTGATGCTGATGCTGCTGATGATGCTGCTGATGATGATGGTGATGATGATGGTGATGATGATGCTGATGATGATGCTGACGATGATGTTCGTGCGTGCGCAGGAATGATGTATCTGGGGCCGTTCAGTGTCACTTGTGAGGGGGAAGGTCGCAGAGCGTAGCGTGCCTCGCGCGTTGCCCGTGCTCATAGCCTTCTGTTGTTCAGACGGCTCTGCGCGCTGCCCGCCGTCCGCTGGCCAGCGGCCGTGCATGTTTGGCTGGCTCGGCAACGTGCTGGTGGACGCCGCGCGGGAGGCTGTGCGGACTGCGGGCGCCGCTTCTCTCGTGTGGGCTGGGCAGAGCGAGCGCGCCTGCCCCGACTGCACGTGCTCGCAGCACCTGGCGTGCCCTGTCCTGCATTGCCCGCCTTGCACGCTCGGGGGCGCGGCCTGCCCGTACTGTCCCGAGGTCAGCTGCTTTGTGGTGGCGGCAGGCCTCAGCGGGTTGTGGCTCATCGCGGGCCTCGCGGGGCTGGCGGCGGGCTGCTGCGCGTGGGCCATCTGGGGCACTGGGCTGAGGCGCGTGCATGGCCGACTCGAGGCCGATCGCGCCTGGACGACAGATCCTGGTGTGGTACGGGGGCGGGGAGGCACACTGGCACGAGCGCCTCCTGCTCTGCCAGGTCCTGGGGACGACCTGGGTAATCGCGACGCCTGATGACGATGTCTACCCAGAGGACATCATGGCTCTCGGTGGCAGGCCGTGTGTCCAAGGGTCCATGCCGCCGGCGATCCCTGCAGACACGCTGCTCTACCGCTTCCCGCCGCTTGGACAGTTGCACACCAACGCGGAGTGGAGGCACATGTTCGACGACGGGATCGCGACCGTGCAGATGCGGCGGGCTGCCATGGGGGTCGTCGAGTCGACCCTGGAGCGGATGCCGAAGCTGGAGCTGTTCGTGATCGTGTGGCTGTGCATGGCTGGGTCGCTGGCACTGGGCCGCCTGGAGGCCAGGCCGCGGCTGGGGCCCCCGCCGGTGCAGATGCACTCGTGCCTGCTGCAGCTGGGCCGCCGCTGGCCGCCACCGCCCCTGCGCTGGGTGGGGAGGGCCCCGCTGGCGGCGCTGGTGCCGTCGCGCCTGCGCCCGGGGCAGTGACTGGCCTGGCTGCGCCCGCCGTGGCTGCGGCGCCACCAGCCTGCCAGTGGGTTGTGGTCGCCAATGACGGACAGCCAAGAGCCCTCTCGGTCGGCCATAACTGGAGCGTGGACGCTAGCGCCATCATCCAAGGTAGGTTTGCCTTCGTCAAAGCTGGGGTCGGCCACGGTCGTGCTGGAGTCGATCGCCATGGGGACCAAGGGCAGCTACCTGGAGGGCAGGAGGAGGGAGCTCGAGCTGGCGGTCGCGAGGGTCACTGCTGCTGGTGGCGTGGCGGCGGCCATGGCCGGCCCGCCCGGGTCGGCCGCCTCGGGGCCCGACAGGGCCGGAGTGCGATCGGTGGATGTTCGGGTGCTGCCTGTTTTCGCAACCAGATGGGCCAGCGCTTCCGACCCTACAGTGATGGTGTGGGCCTGCTGGAGGAGCCAACGTGGAAGGACTTCGCCATCCAGGGGCCGAGGACGAACCTGCGGCTGTGCAAGTTCATCCGAGACCAGGGCTGTGTTCCTCGCGCCAGGACAGAGAAGTGGACGCGCGACGCCCAAATACCAGACAATGACAGAGTCAATCATGAGCACGACAGCCTCATGGAGATCCTGGAGTGGGCCATCACGCATGACGAGTTGGACGTGTCGGCGCTGGCGAGCTTCGAGCTGCGGGCGCGTAGAGTTCAGCTGCTGGAGGAGGCCCACACTGCCAACCCGACGGCGCCGAGGTACGAAGGGAACGAGTACTTCAGGGCCGCGGCCGTGGTGCCGCAACTCACCTCGCACGTGGCACTCCAGCTTCAGGGCGAGGGGCAGATCCAGAAGGATTGACGCACGGCCCGCGAGGAGGCGGCCTTTGCGAGGAACGGCTAGTCGCCCCGCGGCTTCTCCGTTTTCGCGGCCCTCAGTGGGTCGCCTTCTTACCCGCATCTTCTTCGAGGGCATCGGCGCAGTTTTGCCCGGCATGCCCTGCGGTCGCCAGCGTGATTTGCCGCCCTTGCCCCGGCGTCGCGATTGGGGCGGCCCCCGTTGCCCGCTCAGTCGCGGAGCCCGACGGCGCATGTGCAAGCGGGCTTGGATCGACGAGCGCCCTGACGAGATTCTCCGCGCCCTCAACGAGCTGGGGGGCGTCGGCAGCGCGGCGCGCCAGGTGCAGAGCAGACGCGGGCTGCTCCTGCACTGGCCCGAGACGCTGCGGCTGCTGTCCCCTTGCCGAAGGAGCGCCCCCCCCCCCGCGAGAAGCTCTCGCGGCGCTTCTGCGCACAGACAATGGCTATGGTGGCAGCGGGCGCGCCGGGAACATCGCCCCGTTCGGGTCGGCTTCAGTTTCTCTGCCGAGTCGCGACCTGGCGGGGGTGGACATCCACGGCGTCTTGCCCGAGGCAGCGTCGCACGAGCACAAGCGGCTTCGCGGCGCCATTCCTCTCGGCGACGAGGAGCATGCGCTGCGCATCAAGAATGAGGGGCTGCCCAACTTATATTTTGACACCCTGCTGGAGGCACGCCCTGCGAAGCGGGAGGGTTTTTTGTGTGTTTTTTCTTTGGGAGGGGGGGGCGGGGTCGAGAGATTCGTGGCAGGAGACTGGCTCGTTGGGCCCGAACCTACACAGAGAGGGCTGGTGTGCTCTGCGCTCGTGAGAAGCGCGGTGTTCTACGACTCGCATGCGATGCGCGACGGAGCAACATCCGCTCTGATACTTTAGATTCTAGTCAGCTTGCCACTGGCGACCCTCTCAGCCGCCTGGAGGCGGGCCAGGGCTAGGCCATCTACTCGGCCAGCTTCGACATCAAGCCCTACTTCCACGAGCTCAGGATCGACGAGGAGCTGTCGCAGCACTTCGCCCAGCCGCCCGCCCGTGCGTCGTCCGCGGGGGCGCAGGGCATCAACGGGGTCATGGTCGGCCCGCGGGGGCTCCTCTACCCCGCGCTGCAAACGCTCCCCATTGTTTTTTCGTAGGGCATGTGGGCTGCGCAGCTTGTCCATGAGCAACTTCTGCCGCGCGCTGCCCCCCCCCCCCCCCCCCCCCCCCTCGGCAACTGCGCGGCGGCGCGCCGCCGCCGAGCCTGGGGGATGGGGGCCCTTTACGCGGCGTGACAATTTCGGAGCGGTCGGCTGCGACAGAGCCGAAGTTGAAGAGCTACATGGGCGGGCGCTTGCGGGCGCGCGGAAGGCGGGCTTCCAGATCCACGAGATTGAGCAGGTCAGCTCCTCCCTCGACATCGCGGGCGCCCACGTGGACGGGGAGCGGCAGGCGACCGCCCCCTCCCTGTCCGCAGCGGTCGTGGAGACTTCACGCAGGGCTCCGCGCCCTCGTGCGGCGCGGCCGCTACGCCGGGAGGGAGGCGCGGGCTGCGCTGCATGGGTCGCCTGTGCTTCGCGTTCTTCTCGCGACGGCCCCGCGCGCCATGCCTCGCGGCCGTCGTCGCCCTCGCCGAGTCCGCATGGGTGCGAGGCCAAGTGCATCTGGCCGCGCGCCAAGCGGGAGCGACTCATCGCATCGGCCACCCTGCCTTTCTACGCGGACCTTGGGGCTGGCCGGCTGGGCCAGGCGTTGGCGACCGACGCCTGCCAGACTGGCCTGGGCGTCTGTGCTTCTGAGTGGGGGCCAGATGCCGTTCGGCTCGCGGGGCGCCAGGATGGGCGCTGGCGGTTCAAGAAGGACCTGCGTCGCAAGCACCGAGAAGTTGCCCTGGTCGGCTATGAGCTGGGCGAGCCCCCCATCGACAGGGGCGACGACATCGTCGAGGTCGATGGAGAGCTTGTCTGGCTGGCATGCCAAAGGCCCCCTGACGTCGGCCCCACCTCGGTCACCAGCGCGAAGCGGGCCGTCGTGGCAATGCGGCCGTGTGGCGAGCATGAAGGAGCCATCCATGTCATGGAAGCACGCGGTGTCAAGCTGGGCGTCAAGCACGTGGCCCGCTGCGGCCGCTGGCGACGCAACGAAGTGCCCCTGCTCGTGGACAACGCGGGCCTGGTGCTTGCGATGCAGATGGGCCGATGTATGGGGCCCAGCTCTATTGGGCCAGCTCAGGCAAGTTGCTGCCCTTCAGCTGGCCATTGGGCTGCGGGCCCAGTGCCGATGAATCCCGTCTGAGGTCAATCCTGCCGATCGTCCGCCGCGCCTTTGGGAACCTGCACTGGGGCCGCCGGGTCGCGCGTGGCGTCCTCCTCCTGGGCTTGTTCATCCTGGTGCCGGGGGTCGCGACGAGGGCGCCCGCTGTGAGACTGAGGCCCTCTGCCGGCGCGGTGGCGCGCGACGTGGCCAGGCGCCTGCTGGCGGCGGCCGCGCTGCCACTTGGCCGCCTCGGCGACCGCCGGGCGAGTGGGGCGCCCCCGCTGGCGGGCGGCGCCTAAGGCCATCCGAGCTGCCGTCTCTGCCCAGTCCGCCGGCGACGCCGGCCTCGCGTCGCGGCGGCTCGGAGAGATCGCGAGTCACAACCGCAGCAAGGCTGGTTGCCGCCCAATGCTCAGCCAGCAGCGGGGGGGTCTCCCACCTGGAGAGCATCGCGGTGGAGCCCGCCCAGGTCGAATTTTACAACAGGCGCATCGCGGAGTTATTCGAGCGCGCCCGCCTCGAGGGCTTGAAAGTAGACAGCCTGGATTTCCTGGGGGGGGCGCTGCTGGGCCGGGCGGGCCGCGCCTACCTGGAGGGCAGGATGCGCGACGGCGAGAAGCTGAAGGCGGCTGCGCTGCACTTCTACCCGAACCTCAAGAGGTCCAACACCAAGCCGCTCGCCAGGTTCGAGAGGCCCCTCGGGGCGCGGGGGCGACGGCGACCAGCTTCGGGTCGGCTACCTCCACCGTATCCGACAATCTGCGGGTTGACTGCGGCCCTGCCCATTCTGGGCCGCGCGGGCGCGGCGGCGGCGGCGCTGGTCGCGCTCAGCGCCTGCTTGCGGCCAGGGGGGGTGCGCGGGCTCTGCGTTAGAATCGTCGCCCCGCCCGCATCGGGTCTGGCCCAGAGCGCCAGAAGTGGTCGCTCATCCTCGGGCCTTCCGACGACGATGGGGGCCCGACCACGGCGGGCGTCTGCGGCGACAACGTGGCGCTCGACCGCGACAACCCGCAGTTCCTGGGCCTCGTCCTCGAACGGTGCCGCAGAGGCAAGCAGCCGAAGGATCTGCTGTGGGCCTTCTCTCAGGTGGAGCTGGGCAACCTCGTCGCGATGGCGGAGAAGCTGCCTCGCTTGGAGAAGCTCGGCGCCGTGCCGTGCATCCTGCGCCGCGCGGGGCCATCCTGAGACGTGCTCACCGGCAGGAGGTCGCAGCTGGAGGCCCGAAGTCGCGGCCGCTGGGCCGGCGCCAGCTGGCTCATCGCGCGCGAGAAGTCGAGCAAGATCAATGCCCAGCTGGTGGACTTGCCGCCAAACGCCCGGGAGTTCCTGCAGCGCTGCAGCGAGCAGCTTGGATACATCCCCTTAGACAAGGTCGTCGCATCCCGACCGCCTGGTTGGCAAGAGGCGACATATTCCTGAACATCATCGCAGGCGCGGCAGGCATTGGCAAGGCCGCGGCAAGGCGCGGCCTCTCGCCGCTAGAGATCGAGCTCGAGCTGGGCACCAACATCTTCGCGCCAGGCGTCGTGCCAGGACTGGTGCGGCTCATGGGCGTTGGCAGGGTGCAAGGGGTCTCTTTGGCTGCGCCATGCCGTTCCTCCAGTGTAGCTAGAAGGGTTCCACGCATTTCACCCCTGCCCAGCGCTGGGCTTTCTCCAGAGTGCATCTGGGGCCGCTCGGATCTCTCGGATGGGTCGCAAGGCGTGTCTCGAAGGCAACGGGCTCGCTGAAGTCACGTGCAAGCTGACGAGGCAGGCCCCGCGATACAGCATCCCTTTCACGATCGAGAACCAGGCCTCGTCGATGCTCTGGGTAGTACCGTTTTTGAGTCAGCTCAGCACGTCAAAGCCAAGCCCGTCGTTCTTTGACCAGTGCCAGTTCGGGCCGATTTCATGAAGCGGACCTCCGTCCTCACGTCCTCAGACTTTGAGGACCCGTTCGCGGATCGCAAATGCACCGTCTCGGCCAGGATCTGTTCTCGAACTGGTGGGCCTCATGAACACCGAAGGAAAATTATCCCGGCCAAGCAACCTAACAGCGATGTGTAGGAGCATATCTGGAAGCATCCCCCTTAAGATTCAAATGAGAACCCAATTGTAGAATTCTGCTGTTCTCGCAGTTGTAGTCGCATTCGCGATGACAGTCGCAGCGGCAACGGCAGTCGCAGTCACAGCCTCAGCCTAAGTCTGCCTCAGCCTGAGCCTCAGCCTGCCTCAGCCTCAGCCTCAGCCTGCTTCAGCCTCAGCCTCAGTCTGCCTTCAGCCTCGGCCTCAGCCTCAGCCTGCCTCAGCCTCACCCTGCATCAGCCTCAGCCTCAGCCTCAGTCTGCCTCAGAATCAGCCTGCATCAGCCTCAACCTCAGCCTGCCTCTGCCTCAGCCTCAGCCTACTTCAGCCTCAGCCTCAGTCTGCCGTCTGCCTCGGCCTCAGCCTCAGCCTGCCTCAGCCTCAGCCTCAGCCTGCCTCAGCCTCAGCCTCAGCCTGCTTCAGCCTCAGCCTCAGTCTGCCCGCAGCCTCGGCCTCAGCCTCAGCCTGCCTCAGCCTGAGCCTGCCTCAGCCTCAGCCTCAGCCTCAGCCTACCTCAGCCTCAGCCTGCCTCAGCCTCAGCCTGCCTCAGCCTCAGCCTCAGCCTGCATCAGCCTCAGACTCAGTCTGCCTTCAGCCTCGGCCTCAGCCTCAGCCTGCCGCAGCCTCAGCCTCAGCCTCAGCTTGCCTCAGCATCAGCCTGCCTCAGCCTCAGCCTCAGCCTGCCTCAGCCTCAGCCTCAGCCTGCTTC